TCTCTCTCTCTCTCTCTCTCTCTCTCTCTCACACACACACACACACACACACACATACACACACACGTATATTGCAAATATGGGAAAAATATGTGATATTTTGTCTTTTCCTCTCTCATTCCTCACTTTGAATTTCTTCCCACTTACAGTCCCCCTCTGCATCCTTATCTATGATAGTACCTTTCTTAGGATGGTTATTTCCACAAGAGGAACTGAGAGGTTAGAGGACTTGTCTTGATCCAGAACCAGATCTGAGCATCATTTTGGGTGGGAGACAACCACTTGCTTCTAGATCTCTTGGCTAATGAAGAGAACTGCTAGGTTCCTGCTTCTCCTAGGGATCACGGTGGGTGTCTTCTATCCACTGTCTGCCTGTCATAGTATGCATCTGCTTAAGCTACAGCTTGATGGTAGATGCCTAGTAAGCACAACAGTGTGGTGCACAACAGTGTGGTAGCCACTTCTTCTTGTTTCTATAATTTGCACTAGATTGTAAACAAGAGCCATCATTTTGTTTTCCAGAGCTGTCTTGGAGTCTGCCCCGAGTGTTGTAACTTGACTGGATGCTGCCCTGACTCTGGCTGCTCTGGGCAAACCAGTCACTGGCCTGGCTCACTACATTACCATTCCTTCCTCATGTTTGAGTTCTCTGCCAGTCCATTGGACTTAGCTGATGAGCTCAGTGACTGCCAACTGATTGAGCAAGACAATGGCCCTGATTCTCCAGCACACACAGCAGCATTGTCTCCTACAGATGCTTAGGGATCCTTGGCATCCCCTCCAGAGAGCACTGGTGTCTCAATAGACATCAGTCAATGGCTGTTGACAGGGAAGAATTTTATAGAGTAAACTGCTAAGGGAGTTTTTAAAAGTAAGTCGGGGTGGAGAGAGGGCCCTTAAGAGCTTATACCGATTTTGCAGAGGACCCAAGTTCAGTTCCCATCTTCCACAATGGGGGCTCACAACCACCTCTAACTCCAACTGCAGGGGCTCTAATACCTATGGCCTCCAAGACACCTGCTTGTATACACCCACACAGAGTTAAAAATAACAAAGTTTAAGTAAGTCAGAAGTCAAATGTAAATTTAAAATAATTCTGAAGACAGTTGTTTTTGTTTTTATGTTTTCTTGAGACAGGATTTCTCTGTGTAGCTCTGGCTGTTCTGGAACTCGATCTATAGACCAGGCTGGCCTCAAACTCATAGAGATCTGTCTGCTTCTGTCTCCTGAGTGCTGGGGTTAAAGGTGTGTGCCACCCCTGCTCAGCCTGAATGAATACAATTTTAAAGATTTATTATTATTGTATGTACATGTGTGTGTCGGGGGTACATGTGCACACACACTTGTGTGCATGCCACAGTACATGTGTGGAGGTGAGTTCACACTGTCCCCCTTTACAGGTGCTCTGAGGCTCTTCACTTGGATCAGTAGGCTTAGGTGGCAAGCACCTTTCCCTAATCCATCTGCATAGGCTTCTGAACAAGTTTTCAAGGTGCTAATTTTTTTTTTTGCTCAAGGATATTCATATGCAGCAAAATAAAAAAGTTTTTTTTTGTTGTTATCATTTAAATGACAAATTGTTTCTCTGCCTTTTTGGTAATACTTGCTTGGCTCCTTTCACTCTGGGCTCTCTATCACTGAACAACATCCCTATCCCAAATTACTGTTTTTATGTGAAACAGGAAGTATATATAGCATTTGGACATTTTAAGATAATTGTTTCTTGAAATTTTATTCAACGTTTGGTAATTGATTATTGCCACAAAGAGTATACTGCTAATCTCACTTATACACTGCTTTTCTGTTTCGTGTCTTCTAATACTTCAGCGACAACAATAATGAATGAACAATAGACTTGTTTCAGGAAAAGAGCAATGGCCTAGGAAGTGCAGTGAATGGCCGCTGTTCTGGAGAGGGCTTTCCACCGGGACGTTCTCTTTTCTATCTGTTTGTCTGAGATCAGATAAGTTAATGATGTTCCACACAATGTGGCTGACACTGTCACCGTGCCCTTTATATTGGCTGGAGAATAACTTTGGTCCAAACAATGCTTTAAGTGTGTTTAGTTGTCAACAAAAGACAAAGTATCTCAGAAGAATGCCCACTTTGAGATGTAAGGCCTGACTCAGATTGTTTGAGGAACTGAGAATGGGAGGCAGTTGTTACTGAAATCCAGTTCAGCTTTAGTCAGCACTGTTTTACCCAGCTCCTACACACGGTAGGCCCTGGGGCTGCAAAGATGACTAACACTTTTTTAAAAGGGATCTAACTTAGACTTGCTGTGTGCAAGGCAAGCACTTTACCACTGAACGACATCCCCAGTACCTCTTTTGCTTTGTTTATTTCGAGACAGGGTCTCACTGAGTTGCAGGCTGGCCGTGAACTTCCTCTGTAGCCAGCCAGGTGTCTTAGTTAGGGTTTCTATTGGTGTGTAGAGACACCATGACCATGGCAACTCTTATAAGGGAAACATTTAATTGGGGTGGCTCGCTTACAGCTTCATTCATCAGTTCAGTCTGCTATCATCATGGTGGGGAGCGTGGTGGCGTGCAGGCCGACATGGTGCTGGTTACGTCTTGATCAGAAAGCAACAAGAAATAAACTCCGACACTGGGCCATATCTTGAGAGTAGGAAACCTTAAAGCCCACCCCTACAGTGATACATTTCCTCCAACAAGGCCACACCTACTACAGCCAAGTCACAGCTCCTAATAGTGCCACTCCCTATGAGCTTATAGGGGTCAATTACATTCAAACCACCACACCCAGGCGGGTCTTGAACTTGAGATCTTCCAACCGCAGCTTCCCAAGTATCTGGAATCACCAGGCTTTGCCAGATGATTACAACTTAACCTTAGTTATCAATGGGTTCTGCCTGGGAATGCTAATGGCAGACATCAATTTATGGAACCATGGAGGAGAGAGCAGTTTCTCTTCCTGCTGGCATCATTCACAGGAAATGCTCAGATTAAACTAGTCATAGGAAATGTTCAGATTAAAAAAAAAAAAAAACAGTGAAACAGCAGGAGAAGATTCTAGGCCAAAGGTCTAGAGTGAGCACAGATCCAGATGACTGTGTATCATGCTAGAACATTTGCATGCAGGAGAGGGAAGATGGAAGAGCTGTTTGGTGGCCAGAAACAAAGCCTTTGAGTGTCACGGGAAGACTTTTTATGTTAAGTGGATAGTATTTGAAATCGAGCTGGATGTGGTGCATGCCTGTAATACTAGCCCTTAGGAGGTGGAGGCAGGAGGATCAGGAGTTCAAGGTCATCTTCAGTTACATACTGTATCTGAAGCCAACTGGGGCTACGGTGAGACAGTCTTTAAAAGTTCATTTAAAGGGGCAAGCCTGGTGACATCATTTTAATTGTCAGAATCCATGCTTTAAAAGAGCACAAAGAGAGTAATGACTCCACAAGTTCTTTTCTGACTTCTACATGCACTCTGTCTGCCACATGTGCACCCCCCCATAATAAATAAATAATAATTTAAAAGGGTAAATCAGATCACTGAAGTTGAGGCATACCCATACACCTTTGTCACTGTATGTCATTGTAAAGGATGGAAACAGAGGTCCAGACTTGAGAAGGTAAGATGGCCATCCATCAGCAGTGGGGATCCATTCAAGAGTCTGGTGTGTGCACCAGCGAGCCGGCACTGGCCACTAACTGGATGGAGCAGAAGTACAGAAAGGGATGTGAGCAGTGGAGTTTGGAGTTCCTAGCTCCAAGAACCATGTTGGTGTTGAACACCCTCGTTGTGGACGGAAGGTGAGCAAGTTTTCATCGTTTCAGATGAGATTGTGGGTAGAGCTGGTAGGAGGGGAAGAAGGCTCAGTATTTGGTTTTTGTTTGATTGATTGATTGATTTTACTTAATGCGTGGTGTAGGAGAGCACAGATGTGTCACAGCAGGGTGTGGAGGTCAAAGGACAACCCCCAAATACTTAGTTCTCTCCTTCCATATGGGTCCCAGGGATTGGACTCAGTTTGTCAGGCCTGGTGATAAGTGCCTCTACCTCCTGAGCCATCTTGCTGGCCCCCAGATATTTGGTTTTAAGTATTTGGAATTTTAAGAACTGTCAAGGATAGGGCTGGAGAGATGGCTCAGTGGTTAAGAATCACACTGCTTTTGCAAAAGACACAAGCTCTACGTCTAGTAGCCATGTCAGGAGGCTCATAACCATTTGTAACTCCAGCTCCTGGGGAATCCAAGGCCTTCGGCCTCTGTGGACACCTGCACTCATGTGTATAAACGCACACAGAAGCATACATAGATACACAATCACAAAAATAATAATTTTTTAAAAAGAAGGGCTAAGGATGGCTTGGGGATTTAGCTCAGTGGTAGAGCGCTTAATTTATATGTTGGCAGTGGAGATAGAGATTTGACTTTAAGAGAAATTGGGTTTGGCATTAGATATGACAGCAACCTACAATGTTTAAATTGTATGTAATATTTGAAATGGTGAGGTAAATTTACTCAGGGTCAGATTGATGATTAGGAAAGGCCTTAAAGTTATGTGGCTCAGGACCTATTCAGTAGTTGGCAAATAGTATGTTACATATGTATTAAGAACTGGGTTGGGGGATGAATATGAATCATAAATTATTTTCATATGAAAATATCATAACAAAACCCATTGTTTTGTATGCTAACTAAAATGTTTAGTTATAAAAGAAAGGAAATTGAGTCCATTCCAGTCTCAGTTTCTTGATTCGAGGAACTGTGTGTTCTTTTGGTTACTCTGTCTAAGGGTAATCCAGTATTTACCACTTGATAGGGGGCCTGGAATATACTGAGCTACCCACCAAGTTACAAGACAGTTTAGTGTGAATGTGGGATTAGAGTTTGAAAGCAGCGGTGTGAGCAGATTAGTTCCTAAGAGCCTCCAGGTGCCTTGGGAAGTTGGCTGCGCCCTCTTCCTCACCCCATCCTACAGAAAGAGCACAAAGAAAGGAAATTCTAGTACAGTGTTCAGTCTCTGCCTCCTTCTCTTTCCAAAGATTCCTTTCCACGCATTCCTTACACATTTGCAGATGGAGTCAACTTTATATCCAAAGCCCCAATTGACAACTGAGCAAGCCAGGACTCCATGGAGTGGAGCACCCAGGTGTTTAGGGCTGTCCCCTGGCTACTTATCATGACATCACTCAGATTCCAGGGCTGAGTCAGAGTCTTAGGTGGCTATTCAAGGTCATAGGATGCTTGCTCCTGTTTCCTGAGGAAGTTGAAGTGCTTGCTGATTGGTCTGTTCTGTCCCACTTCCAGGAGAAAAATCAGTCATCTGTGAGATCCCATGTGGATGAGAAAAAGAGAGAGAAATGTGGCAGATGATTAAATACAGTGTCACTATTTATTCTCAACTGTAGTTGATGATTTATTTATTTATTTATTTTTTCATGGGCCATCTGGGTAACTGCCTTCAGATCATTACATTCTGGATCATCCTTCCATCACATCTTGGCCTTCAGATAAAATCAAGCATACACCAACCCCTTACTTCAGCTGGGTAGTTGTGTTGGCTACACACACAGCTGCCTACCCATCCATGATCTCATTGACACCTGCTCCACTTAACATGCCTCTACCTCCTCCTCACTCTCAATTTTGACCTTTGAAGTATTACCCCAAACTGTAGCTCCTCTACATTTTTTTTCTTCCTACTGCTAAATCTTCCCATCAGTCTACACTCTCCTGGGGCTATATCAGCTACTGTAAGTTTTCTTTCTCCATAGTGCATCCAGAGGTGATGTTTCCTCTCCTGTGGATACCTGGGATATGTCTTTAACCTTTCAGACTAGTCCTCAGCTTCACTTAAAGAGATGGAGGAGTGGGGTAAGTCATTTGACTATGCCAAACTGAGTTTCTAAGATGAGAGTAACAGCAATAAGCACTGTAGTTCATCGAGTGTCCACTGTGGCAGACACCTCACTAAGCATTTTGTTATGTTATAACATTGCCACCATCAAACGTGAGGAAGCTAGCCGGGCAGTGGTGGCACACACTTTTTATCCCAGCACTCTGGAGGCAAATGCAGGCAGGTCTCCATGAGTTCGAGGCCAGGGCTGTTCTACAGAGCTACAGCCAAGGCTACACAGTAAAACCCTGTCTCAAAAAACAAAAACAGAAGTGAGGGAGGTCCCACCTCTATTTTGTGGATGAGAAAACTAAAGTTGGAAACAATCATTTGTTTAAGAGGCAGAAACCAGATTCAGGCTTATATGGCTTTTTTCCTAGCTTTATTAAGTGATAAGTGACAAAAAATGATATATGTTCATTTCTGAGTATTAGTTCATTTTATGTTGCCAAATCAAAATACCCAAAGCTGGGTCAGCCCCGTTGGCTGAGAGGGTAAAGGTGATTGCGGCCACGCCTGACAATCTGAGTTCAATCTCCAGGACTCACATGGTGGAAGGAGAGACCAGACTTCTGAAAGTTGTCCTCTGGCTTCCACGTGTCCCACCCTAAAGAATGCAAATGTAATACGAAACCAAACAATACCTGTAGCTGACTATGTCATAAAGAGGAGAGGTTTTTCGGGGGTGGAATATTTGACTACAGATCAAGTGAAGAGGCTTATTTCGAGCTGGGTGTGGTGGCATGTGCCTTTAGGGGGAATCTCTGTGAGTTTGAGGCCAGCCTGATCTACATAGTTCTAGGCCAGCCAGGGCTACATAGGGAGACCCTGTCTCAAAACACAACATCAAAAAGAGGCTTATTTTGACCGACATCTCCAGAGGTCCTTAGGAAAGGGCACTGATACCAACACACTGACTTAGAGCATGCTGAGAAGCAAGAAGCCAAACAGCTATGTGTAGGAAGGCCTGGTGTGTGTGGTGACCTCCAGGCTCCCAGGAAAATTACATTAATTATGCTCATTATCTTCCAAGTGTGGCAACATCAATGACCTTCTACCTCTTAAAGCAGTGGTTCACAACCTTCCTAATGCTGTGACCCTTTAATTCAGTTCCTCATGTTGTGGTGACCTGTAACCATAAAATTATTTTGTTGCTACTTCATACTGTAATCTTGCTACTGTTATGAGCCATAATGTAAACATCTGGTTTGTGAATCCTGTAGGGGTCATGACCCACAAGTTGAGAACCACTGTCTTAAAGGTTCCACCAGCATAACACCACCAGAGAAGTGTTAGGATTCTGATACATGCCTTTTTGGGAGACACTTAAACCACAGTATACAGATTTGGCATATGTGTGCATGAAATGATGACCACAGTAAAGCTAATTAGCACATCTGTCAGCTCACGTACATTAATTTTGACAGTTGATAACTGTCAACTAATATCCTAGGAAAGATAAAAAGTGCTCAAATCACCAGGATTATTTTTATCTTGTTTTTAAAGAAATATTTTAATATCTATTGTTGTGCAAAAGAAATCTTCTTAAATATTAATCCTCAGAAATGACATGTAGTTTAAAGTTTTAAGACCATTTTCAGTGAGCAATTACAACACCTTTGGCATTATTAGTAAAAGAAGACAAAGAAAAAAGGTTTCACGATAATACTCAAAGGGAAGAACTAGATCAGAGGAAATAAAATATAGGAAAAGATGGGAGAAAACTGAAAAAGGACAAATAAAAGCCAGTTTTCTAGAAAGGGAAGTTTTAAAAACCTTCCTGGAAAAGAAAAAACACAGTCAAATTTCCACGGTTGTATAATTTAATGTCACAAGGGTGTCACCCAGCTAGCTCAGTCGGTAGAGCATGAGACTTGTGATGTCACATAGGAAAAATATAAAAGCAGTAATTAATAAGTCACAAAAGGTCTCCTACTGTTGGGTGGGTAAATGAGTGTGGAGACATATGCCTGTAATCCTAGCACTGTGGAGGCAGAAGCAGAAGTTCAAGGACATCCTTAGCTACTAAGCAATTTAAAGCCAGTGGGGGCTACGTGAGTCTCTATTAAAAAAAGGGAAAAAAAAAAAGATTTGCTAGAGAGTAAAATATAAATCTCAATATAAATATTTTAAACTATGTTAACAAGATTTAATTAGATTCTTTCTATATTATTTTCATTATAATTCCAAGACAAATGAGGGATTTGAAATAATTATAGAATTATCCCTCATGGTGCAAACTAACCTCAGTGAATGAAATCCGACTCAGCTGTCCTGCTCAGCCCAGCCATCAAAATGTAGTTTGGATCACCTTGCGATAAGAATAGAAATTAAAAATGTCTGCTCTTTGGCATTGGTGTTTATCACAAAGACAACTCGCTTGTTTGTGATAGGACCCAGGATGAAATAGGTCTGTCAATTCAGTAATATGAGAATTAAAAAGAAAAAAAAAACTACTCTAAATGAATCAATGTGGAAAAACACAGATTGGCATCACTCTGAGTTAATCCAAGATTATCTTCCAAAAATGTTTGATTTAGGATTCGTTTACCAAATAATGTTATTCCTAAAGCATCTTAATCCAGACAGGACAGGATAGAGACACATTCTGATGTCACAAGGTGTAGTTGGGCCCCAGTGGTACCTGATTTAGCTGGCATCACACTCTCATCACAAAGGATCAGCTGCTCTGTGGTACTAACCCACTCACATGACGTGCCCTTGAAGCACTTGTTGGCCGTGGAGTGTCAAGGGGGTTTCCAATGGGACGAACCACCAGTAGATCTTTGGGCCACGTTAGCATCATAGGCAGGACAAGCAGCATCCTCATCAGAATTATGAGTACATTGAGAGAATGCATCTCTGAGAACTCTTTCACAAGCTAATCACCATGGTAACCCACAGCTAAATAACATTCTAGAGATTTCTCAGGTGGCCAGGACATTGTTATCTGAATGAAGCTGTTAGAGACAATGCGAGCTGCTTATTAGATTGTTGGACAATGATAAAGCCAGGTTCACCATGCTTTCCTCCTCGGCCATGAATTCTTAGACTGCCAGACGACGGTGTAGGTCTGAACTGGTGTCTGCTCATCCTGCTCCCACAGCCCCACAGCATGGCTCTGCTCAGAGCAGGAAGAGGGAAGACTGGAAGGGAGACACTGTTGCAGAAACTTATTTTGTTCCTTTTTTAAAAATTAAATTCTCTTCCCAGACGTATTTATTTTAGGCATATGAAAGTTTCCTTCGATGTATGTCCATGCACCGTGTGCCTTTCTGGTACCCACAGAAGTCTGAAGAAAGCATCAGACCCTTGAAACTTGAGTCACATGACCGGTACAGCCATCGTGTGGGGGATGGGAACTGAACCTGGCAAAAAGCAGCAAGTGGTTTCAACTGCTGAGCCATAACTGCAGCCGGACATCTTGCTTTTGTTATTATTTTTTTAAAGATTGATTTTATGTACATTGGGGTTTTGCCTGTGTGAGGATGCCAGATCCCCTGGAATTGGAGTTACAGACAGTTGTGTGAGCCGCTTTGTGGGTGCTGGAAATTGAGCCGAGGTCCTTTGGAAGAGCAGCCAGTGCTCTTAACCGCGGAGCCATCTCTCCAGCCCCAACACCTTGCATTTCTACAAAGTAAGGTGCTTGGAACAGGACCCATCCTGGGGCTTGGAACAGGACCCATCCTGGGGCTTGGAACAGGACCCATCATGGGGCTTGGAACAGGACCCATCATGGGGCTTGGAACAGGACCCATCATGGGGCTTGGAAAAGGACCCATCGTGGTGAGTTGTTTCTGGGAAAGAGGCAGCTAAGTAACATTGTCTTCACTGCTTAGATGAGAGGATTGAAGGGAAGGGACTCAGAGTTGGATGGTCACCATGGAAACACTTATGTCTTCCCCTCTCTCTCCAGTATCCTACTCACCTAGATTAAAAACACCATCCATGGTGACTAACATGTATTCAGTGTTTATCATTCCTTGTATGAATTATCTCATTTAGTCCTTACAACAACTTCATGAGTTCTATACAATCAGATCTAAGAACAGATAAGGACAAAAGGTTGAGACAACTGTTTTCCAGGTGCTTTTTTATTCATATGTTTTTAATTTTTTAAATTTTATTTTATTGTTTTTAAGGCAGGGTCTCTGTGTAGCCCTTGCTGTCTTGGAACTTGATTTATAAAGACTGGCCTTGAACTCAGAGATCCACCTGCCTCTGTCTCCCAAGCGCTGGAATTAAAGGCTTGTTCCGTCACACCTGGCTCTCACAACTGTTTTTGAAAAACAGTTATTGAAACAAAAGCTCCTGTCGTCCAGGCTTGGCCTTGGCAGATGGCCAAGCATGACCCTGAGTGCTAGCTCCTCCTCTCTTCATGTACTGAGTGCTGGGTTTATAGACATTCACATCACACTTGGTGCCATTGTCTTACATATCATCCTGATGTTGTGACATGTTTAAGGAGGCGTATGGATTCCATTATAACTACTTAACAATTTTTCGGTATACTGAGGAAAAATAGTTAACTTCCTCTTCTCATTAAATGCATATATTTTCCCTTCCTGTTTGTTTTTTCTCTCTTTCATGGAAAAAAAAAACATTTATTTTGTGTGCATTGGTCTTTGGTCTGCATATATGTTCATGAGAGGGTGCCAAATCCCTTGGACCTGAAGTTACAGACAGTCATGAGCTGCCATGTGGGTGCTGGGAATTGAACCCTAGTCCGTCGGGAGGAGCACCCAGTGCTCTTAGCTGCTGAGCCATCTCTCTCCTAGCTCCCCTTTTGTAGACATTTTAAACCGTAGGAACACTAGCAATTTTGGATTTTAGTTGTACTTCAGCCCCGCCTCCCCCGTGTGTGTGTGTGTGTGTGTGTGTATGAGAGTGTATGAGAGA